CGTAAATATTATCTAACTCCTGAATGTACTCCTAATGGTGGAATAAAATATTATCAGGGTTAGTAATGATTAACTAGTATGAGATCAGTAATTTATATTAGTATACTGGATCCCTAAATGTTAATGATCCACTGACTTGAGTGAATCAGTAATTTTAACATGGATTCAGGCTATAATGGACAGTCTGCCGACAGCCATATATTGAAACATTGGTATAGCCTAAATGGTTAACACTTAATTGGTGTTAGTGATTAATATAAGGTTATGAGCTGTTGCTCTTGGTGACCTAAGGGTTCTACTTCAGTATGAAGTGTAGGTCTAAATGTTGTGGGTACTTGGTTATGACCCACTACAGCTATGTATAAGGTAGCTGTTAGTGTGATCTAGGCTAACTGATGTGTTTCACTATTAGTTGACACAATTAATTAAATAGTTAGTCTAGCTTCTATCACACAAGGATTAGTTATTAATGGTTAATATTTTAATTATAAATTTAATGCCTATCCGGTTCGAAGAACCATAATGTGGGATATTTGGATTTGATTCTGATTAATTAATAATTAAAGTAGTAAATTAAATAACGAAGGACCACCCGCTTTTAAAGAGGGAAACTGAGAATTTCAGATCATTAGATAAAATTCTAGAGAAAACCAGTGACTATGGATATGACTAAAAAGTATGATCATAAGAATAATTAATGGGCTGTATTATTAAAACCAAACCTCAAACACCTACATTGGGGGGTTATTACTGGAGGTCAGTACGTCCAGGAATCAGTGTGGTTCGTTCACTAATTCTATTAATAATAATCTAATCCTATAATTAATGTTGAATATAATATTATTCATACAAAGAAGAACATGAATATGAGCATAATAATGAGTTACAGTAAATCACACATTATGTTGAACATTCTGAATGTATCAAATTGCAAAGTTGTGAATAAAAAGAAATAAGCCTTAGCTGGTAATAGATTCCTTTAGATAACCCTGGCAGTCCTCTTAATCTCCAAGTCTGGTACACCGACGAATGACACGGTTAACATGGAGAAGACAGCATGAGGAATTCGTCTCTCGAGCTGCAAAATAAATGACTACCAGTAGCAATTGATTTAACTACTCAATACATATTCAAGATTATTGATATCTACAGATAGATTTCTAATCACCTGTTATTAGGTGTTGTCTTGCCGCGTGGCGTGCAATCACCCTGCCATTAATACACTTATAAATGATGCATCAAATAAAAGTACTTAGCTGTGGGCACTGTGTAAGTATTAAGATTGCCGTAATTACGTATCCCAAGTTCAGGTGAGCTTATCCGGGATTAATACGTTTCAAGTTGGCTGATCACGTGTCGTCAGGAACCAAGTCTAGGGGTCCCTTATTTAACACCAGCACTAGTTGAAGATATTATCTGCAAGGTCGTTCACGCCTCACAGTGGCGGCTTTCATCTGTGGATAGACACACGTGTCCTATTTGCTGGACAATGGCGTCTTTTGTGAGTACGGTAAGCGCAGGTCTGCTTCTCTTCGGTTCCCCACGTGTATGTGTACTGAGGATGGCATGGCGTCCCTCTACCCACGCCGAGTCGACGTTCATTACACAAATTATTGGCATGAACATTAATATTTCTCGCATTCGCGCTTGAAACTCTAAAGACTGGACGGGTTTATTATTTAGAGGAACGGAATATTATTATTTAACTATTTAAGAATAGTAAATATATAAAGGGAGAGGAATTAATGTCTCCCCATGGCATTCATTGATGACGTTAACACTACCGCGAGGTAGACGGTATAATTCTAACGCTCTATTCGGCTTTTAATTAGAGAACCATTCGTCTGCAATCAGTTGCCATACAGAATGCTTTAATTATGGAGAATCGTATTTAATTCTCACACAAATTGTATATAATGTGTTTTACTGTAAAGAAATCTGACGTAATACTGGCGTCAGATGACGTGAGAATTCTAGCCTAATGCACAGATGAATTATTAGTACAGGAGAATTCTACGAGTTGTTAATTTTACTTACTACAATATTAATATGGTTAGTAATAAGTAATGAGAATACAAAAATGCTGTATTCGATGTTGGAAATATCCAACAACTTCCTGTAGACACCCTCCAGGGACTCTTGAGAGACAGGAGAGTATGGACAGGACCAGGGTCGACGGCACTTGAACACCTGCTGTTCACCCCAAATCCGGAGGACCTTCTCCAGTAGAGTGATATAGCAGTCCAAGTGCACAAGAGGATGGAAAGACCTGACCTTCATGAGGTTACAACCTGTTCTCGCACTTTCTTACAGTCAATATTGACTTATTAAATACGTGCATATGTGACATACTAAACATACTAGTTTACCTTGAAAAGCTTCATAGAAAACACCGACCTTACCCAACCTTCTTAGTATGTTAAGATAAGCATCTTATTGCTTCGTAATTACAATTATTACGTAACCTATTATAGGTATATATATATTACAATTATTACTTAACCTATTATAGGTATAGGTTAAGTAATAATTGTTATTACGAAGCAATAAGATGCTTATCTTAACATACTAAGAAGGTTAGGTAAGGTCGGTGTTTTCTATGAAGCTTTTCAAGGTAAACTAGTATGTTTAGTATGTCACATGTGCACGTATTTAATAAGTCAATATTGACTAAGAAAGTGCGAGAACGGGTTGGAGGTTAACAGTTTTTTCCAACAGGAGAACTTAGAAATTATAGCTCTGGTAAAACCAATTTTTACAAAGATAGAATATCTAAAAGACAGGTTGACGTTTGCCCAATGGACAGTGAGGCTAAACACGGTCTCGGAATACCTTGTCCTACAGGTTTGTTTCCCATTTTTATTCAGCAGTCTCCCAATCCTACCAGGTCTAGCCAGCTGTCTAAACAGAGTGAACATGGAACAGGCCAGAGCGTCTATGGTGACATACACGCTGCTCCTCAAAGCCTCACATACGAGAGAAATGGCCAAAATCGAGCTCTTCGTAGCCCGCCACGTAATACAAGGTTGGGACCAGGTAAGAATTGGTACAACCTAATGGAAAGGTTTCAGACGAAAGACAACTCCGAAACCAGGGACCCTCGAAAGACCATACGACGGAAGTCTGGTGATGCACTCAGGACAGACGTCACACAGGTATGAAAGTTTTATCTCAAACCCTCAGAAAGGTACACTGTTTGCCTGACTACAACAGTGGACAAAGCCCTAGAACAGGTGTAACCACAGCCACAACAAAAACAAGTGGCCCAAAAACCCTTACGTTCAGTGCTCCTGATGAACGAAGACAACAATGTCCCTCTATCCCCTATTCTAAGCAGGCCTGTCCTACAACAACTTGCCTTCCCACCCAGAAGAGACCCGAACAGATGGAGCCGTCCGCAGAGATAGAAATTCCAATGGGACACGTCGGCGAACAACAACAGGCAAGGTAGGAATAACAGACAGGTCACGAATCGGATGGAGAGATTCATCACGAGACAAACCGGGTGGCAACCAAGTGAGAAACAGAGATCTGGAGAAAACCGAGGTCAGGGTAACAGGAACGGGACCGGGGACAACAGATACCAGAACAACAGGATCACCCCAGGCGACAACAGAGGCAATAGCATCAGAGACGACTACTCCTGGAACAACAATAACAGACAACAGACAGGGTGGTAATAATAATAGCAGCGGCTAGAATTTATTCAGAAACAGGAGCAGAGGCAACAATCTGAACCAGGAGAACAACAGAAGACCCAGGCGCTGGAACAGCATGAACCGAGACCAACAGGGAGGAGACAGAGGGTATAACGGTGGAGATCGGAGAAACTCATGAAACGACACAAATTAAGGCAGAGAAGAGGACAACTGAAACAGACAGTTGTCTCTGAGGTACCTTTAACTGAACAGGAGAGGAAACTGTTGGAAAGGGGACTCGCGTTCGTGATAGGCCCTCTGGCGCGTAAGAAGAGATACGATCGAAGATCTTTGCAACAACTTGGAAACTAGTATCAACCAAGTTTGGAGCAACCTCCGGCCGGAGCAAGGCAAGTCACATGGAGCAATTAAAAGAATTAAACTCTTCCTCTCTTTCAGGTACCTCTTCCACAACAAATCAGTCCAGTGCCCAAACTACAACCTAGTAGGCCTTAAACCGGTAATCCAGGAGGTGATGGTGGACCTCAAGCGCGGTGCGGAACGCCGACGCAACTGCAATCTCGCAAGGGAGGAGAGGGACGTTCGGATATTGTGATAAAGCTGGCGGACAAGGGAGGTGCTGTCGTCGTCTGGAGAAAGAACAACTACAGGCACGAGCTGCAGTGGCACCTAGCACACACTGCAGCCTACAAACTGATACACAACCAGGATGCGGCGCTTTGAAACCCCCCAAACGAGGAGTAAAAGGAAAGTCCTCAAGCTGTTTGAAAACAAAACTAGGGACGGGAAAGGAGGATTCATGCAGGCAGGGGCGAGAGATTTCTTCCTAGCTTTTGAATCCATCATTCCCACCTCTACCTTTTACCAAAGTTCCATAAATCACTAGAAGAAACAGGAACGTGGCAACGGAGACCGGTTCTAAGCGGCTGCCGGGCCCCAACAAGGCCAGTAGACTGGATCTGCACAGCCCTCCTGAACCCCTTGTTACGTCTACTACCGGAAAGAATCCAAGATACAACAGATTTCCTCAACAAAAGTGCAGAAATTAGAGGCCCCGTCCTGAGAGGGGCCCGCCTTTTCTCCATGGATGTATTCATTACCTTTTTGATGTATGGTTCTTGCTGGATTGTCGAGAATACACAGTAGATCACTTCAGCAATTTATTGAGTAAGGTAACAGTGTGTAGTTATCGACTGCCGAGGTCCTACCTACTCTGGGCTTGTGAGAATACTGACCTTGCCTCCAGAGCGGACACTTCCAGCTCTGTAGGGAAGGACGTCAGAGACCTACTCGATTGTGATTGGCTGTATCCCAACCGTCATACAATTTGAGTACTAACAGATGTGGTATCGATCTACCCGAGCATACCACAGAGAAGCTGCAAAGGTAGTAGCATCATTTTTACAGATAACAGAGCTAAAATCAGACAGGAACTTCGAGACGTCGAGGCATCTGTTGGATCTGGACGTGAGACAGGCTGATGGCACGGACGAAAACTCATCATGGGTATTGAAAGTGTGCAGAAGCACTGTCGAAAGTCCTACCAGAAATATGGAAGACGGCTAATGTAGTCCCAATATACAAAAAGGGTGACAGACAAGAGGCACTGAACTATAGGCCAGTGTCCTTAACTTGTATACCATTCAAGGTGATAGAGAAGATCGTGAGAAAACACCTAGTAACACATCTGGAGAGAAAGGACTTCGTGACAACCTATCAACATGTGTCCAGGGAAGGTAAATCTTGCCTTACAGGATTAAGAGAATTCTTCGGTCAGGTGACAAAGATTAAGCAAGACAGAGAAGGCTGGGTGGACTGCATTTTCTTGGTATGTAGGAAAGCGTTAGACACAGTACCCCATAAGAGGCTGATGCATAAGCTATAGAAACAGGCAGGAGTAACTGGTAAGGTGCTCCAGTGGACAAAGGAGTACCTAAGCAATAAAAAGCAGAGTTACAGTGAGGGGGTGAGACCTCAGATTGGCGTGCAGTCACCAGTGGAATCCCACAGGGCTCTGCACTAGGACCTATCCTGTTTCTGATATACGTAAATTATCTCCCAGAGGGTATATACTCATTCGTCTCAATGTTTGCTGACGACGACAAAAATGAAAAGGATTAAGGCAGATGAGGACAGCTTGAGGCTTCAAGAAGACCTGGACAAGCTGCAGAATGATCGAACAAATAGTTGTTAAGAGTTTAACTAAAGCAAATGTAATGTAATGAAGATAGTTGTAGGGAGCAGGAGGCCAGATACAAGGTATCATTTGAGAGATGAAATTCTTCAGGGGAAAACACAGGAGGGGAGAGACAGACACAGAGCCAGACACAGAGCCAGACACAGAGCCAGACACAGAGCCAGAGCCAGAGCCAGACACAGAGCCAGAGCCAGAGCCAGAGCCAGAGCCAGAGCCAGAGCCAGAGCCACAGCCAGACACAGAGCCAGACACAGAGCCAGACACACAGCCAGACACAGAGCCAGACACAGAGCCAGACACAGAGCCAGACACAGAGCCAGACACAGAGCCAGACACAGAGCCAGACACAGAGCCAGACACAGAGCCAGACACAGAGCCAGACACAGAGCCAGACACAGAGCCAGACACAGAGCCAGACACAGAGCCAGACACAGAGCCAGACACAGAGCCAGACACAGAGCCAGACACAGAGCCAGACACAGAGCCAGACACAGAGCCAGACACAGAGCCAGACACAGAGCCAGACACAGAGCCAGACAGACACACACAGAGCCAGACACACACAGAGACAGACAGACACACAGAGAGACAGACAGAGACAGACAGACAGAGACAGACAGACAGAGACAGACAGACAGAGACAGACAGACAGAGACAGACAGACAGAGACAGACAGACACAGACAGACAGACACAGACAGACAGACACAGACAGACAGACACAGACAGACAGACACAGACAGACAGACACAGACAGACAGACAGAGACAGACAGACAGAGACAGACAGACAGAGACAGACAGACAGAGACAGACAGACAGAGACAGACAGACAGAGACAGACAGACAGAGACAGACAGACAGAGACAGACAGACAGAGACAGACAGACAGAGACAGACAGACAGAGACAGACAGACAGAGACAGACAGACAGAGACAGACAGACAGAGACACACAGACAGAGACACACAGACAGACACAGACAGACAGACAGACACAGACAGACAGACAGACACAGACAGACAGAGAGACACAGACAGACAGAGAGACACAGACAGACAGAGAGACACAGACAGACAGAGAGACACAGACAGACAGACAGACAGAGACACAGACAGACAGAGAGAGACAGACAGAGAGAGACAGACAGACAGAGAGAGACAGACAGAGAGAGAGACAGACAGACAGACATACACAGACAGACAGAGAGAGACAGACAGAGAGACACAGACAGACAGAGAGAGACAGACAGACAGAGAGACAGACAGACACATACACACAGACAGACAGACAGAAACACAGACAGACAGACAAAAAGACAGACAGACAGAGAGGGGGGGACCACAGCTGTGGACAGGGTACAACAGAATAATAAGAGAAAGGGGATCCAGGAGGTCATTCCAAATAAGGAGAGAGTGGGGACTCATGGCGGCTCGAGTGGGTGTGCGCACGTGACAATGAGGTCAGTTTTAGAGCCGCAACCCCTTAAACGTGTGACGTTGAACCCCTCTCCAAGTGCCAGAAGCTCCCAGGGTGATCTCCTGGTCAAAAGAAGCACTCTCCGGGTTTTGGGTCGATTATCCGGAAGGAAGGACGGATAACCGACCAATCAACATCATCATAATACCAAGTACATTGAGGCGGCCACATTATGCATGAAGTGTTCTCGTTAGGACAAGGCATCTATACAAGAAGTATAGATGCAACTCCGAAGAAGTCAAGATTGTGCAGCAGGACCAAGGAGGAAACAACGGAAAGCTAACGACAACTATGACTAACGTTTGGGTGAAAGGAACGGCAACAATTAAGGCGACCCTTGAAGCAGTAGGCAATGCAGCTCCCCAAAATAAAAAAATAAAAATAACTTGGAGATTAGGTTCAGGACAATAGTGAACTGGGGTTGGTACTCGAATCTTTGAATATTTCAGAAAGCTAGACGAGAGGATTGAAGTATTAGAAATGTTAGCTATTGAGGGTAAACGGGGTGAAGATGGTGGTGAAACAGGATGTGAAATGGATAGTGAAACGGGCGTAGAAGAAAGTAAAGAAGAGCATGAAGTATCGATGATGTTATATAGTCAGAAACTGTGCTTTCTAGTAGTGTTGGCAAGCAGTGTTCAGCCTTCTGTAGTGAAAATGGTGAAACAAAAGTTGAAGTAAAACGGCACACAGACATAAAAGAAAGATATGAATAATATCACCTTTGATGTTAGTAGTAGTTGTGCAAGTGAAGAGAAAGCAAAAATATTAGTGTTGGGAGAAAGTGTCTAAGCTGCTCTTGTATCTTATGTAATGTGACGGACAGGGCAAAGGTAGTTTTATTAATATTCATCATGGAAGAAAGTGAAAGGAAATCTTGGAACGTTAATGGGTTAAAATGTAGAGCGGTGGATGTACACTATTATACTCATAATATTGCCATAGTAGCACTCCAGGAAACTGGAGATAGGGATGGTAGAATCCCTATCACAAAAACGGCTATAAAGGTTTTCACTTACATGCTGATGGAGACATTAGGGGAAGTCTCGTGTGTCAAAAGTACCATACTTGCTGTGATAACCGAGATACCAGAGATATATAAACGTACTGAAAGTATTAGTTTTCAGATTCAATTACAAAACCGATAATGATATATCTTCAATCTATACATCTCTGATAACTCCTTTGATTTAAGATACTCCCCAGATTATTTCTTTTATGAAGATACGCTTGTGATAGGGAATTTTAATGCCAAACATCGAGCTTTAGGATCAAGGGGGTAAAGCAAATAGTAACGGTTGCAGATGGTACCAGTTTTTGCAGAAACAGATGCTCAACTGGTGGGCGAGCCCTCTCCTACTTATCTGCAGGGAGCGAGTTTAGATTATGCTTGTTTGATAAATGCTGGGAGAGGGGGGAGGGGCATAGAGGGGATTTGTCTTGCTGTAGATGAGATGCTAAGTGTTCATTTTGCA